TTGGGCAAATCAGTCCTGGACGTTGGATTGGTGGGCGGCCCATTCCTGGGCTAGCTGAAAGCGCCAGTCTGCGTACGGTTCGGCGGCGCCCTCCCGGCTCCACAGGTAGCGGAGCAAGCAGCGATCCGTAGCGTCTTGCGGTCTGTGCCGGTGGGTCATGGCGCCTCGAGCTTCCGCCTTCCGGCGATGCCTCCCCGGCAGCAGTAGTAGGAGCAGCAGTAGTAGCAGTAGTCGTAGTAGGAGTAGTGGTAGTAGTAGTAGTAGCAGCAGCTATCGCTTTAGCGGAAGCTCGAGGGCGGCCCTTTTTGGGCCGGCTGGCAGCTACAGGCTACACGCGACCTAGCCTTAGAGAAGCTGCGCAGGGAGGAGTGTGTCGGGAGTTCAGGTTTGAGTGTGTCGGGAGTTGTCAGGTTTCCACCTAAAGTTTAAAAGGGTCAGGTTTCCACCTAAAGTTGAAAAGAGTCAGGCTTCCATCCTAAAGTTTATCATCAGATACCCTACATGCATATATGAGCCTAGGTAAACCCCACAGCGTGCAACATAAGAAGCGAAAGTGTCTGGAACTTAGAACGTGTTCGTGTTGCTGTTGTTTCTTAATTCTTTCTCCCTACCTTGAGATGTGGAGCGGCGCGGACATTCAGAGTTTCCACCATGACATGCTCGTGTTGGCAGAAAGCTGCAACGCCCTTGCAAAACATGCACTTGAAACACATGAAACAACGGCCTTCCGGCCTGAGCTGCGGCCTCCGGGCCTGGCCTTCCGGCCTTCAATGGCAATGCCTGATCTGGGGCCTCCCGGCCTGTTTCGCTTTGTTGCGGAAATTAGGATGCGAGCCTGCATGGGCCTTCCGGCCGTCACTATAAAGAAAATCATGGCAAAACATGCATTATACTATACCATTCACATATATCTATACACATGCATATACACACTCTTGGTCAACCCCGAACCCTAAACCCTTAACCCGAAACCCTTGAACCTTATACAAGCTTTTTCGACCTATAAAAATGAAGTTGAATCATAAACCTTGCAAACCATGAGCCCTTCATGTGCAAAAGCCTGCAACACAGGACTGTGAAATTCTTGTTCACGCAAAGGCTCCGGCAGGCTTCTTCTTTGGGGCCTCCTTCAAAACACGGCGCCGACGCTTGGTTGGCCGGTCCGGCGTCTCGAAAGACTCTGGCGGAAACCGGGCTCTTATGGCCTCGTTCTCATCGGCTTCCGCCTCGTCCATGGCTTCCGCCTCTGACTGCAGAGCTGTCGCATCTGCTTCCGCGGTCTCAAGCTGCGGCCCTTGTTCAAGTGTAGGAGCGGGCGGCGCTTTCGCAGCGAGACTTTCGTCGACGAAGTCTGGGAGCTCTGCGGCTTTCTCTGCGACCTTCTCCGGCGATATGCTGTCCGCCACTTTGCTCACAGCGCTGGCGCTGGCACGCAATCGTTCCAGCAACTCCGACGGGCTGGCCATGGCGGTTCTTTTCCAAGAAGAAGGATCTTACGCAAAGAATCTTGAAGCCAAAGGTCTGTCATTGCAATGGTGGTGGAATGTTTTCATGCATGCGCTCACATATCCTGCAGGCACACAGAACAAAGCTGTGGTCTCTCATGTTTCCAAAACTGAGCGGTGGCTCTTCTGGCGCAGTCCGCTTCCGCAGGTCTTCTGGCTCCCTTCGCTTTTACAGGAGTCTTAATTATATAAGGATCCACGCCTACCTTAAGCAGGAGTCTCAGGCATCCACCCTTGCTCTCTTAGCCCGGGCTTTGGCTTGAAGATTCTCGTAGCGCATGCGGCGCAAACGCTCCCGCTGCACGTTAGTCAACGAGGCTCGGATGTTTTCCGAAAGCCTCACCTTCTCGTGCAAGTCCTCGGCGACTCTTGCCCCCCTTCGGCCTTCCAGCCCCGTGCCCCAGCACAGGTTCGGGGAGAAGTTTGCGACTTCCTCTTCTGCTTGCGCAAGGACCTCCCGACCTTCTGCAAGGTAGTCCCGCAGCTTCTGTGCCTCCGCCTCTTCAAGCTGGGTGTCACCAACCAAAAACGAGGCTTGGACTTGCAGCAAGTCGTTGATGAGGGGCGCGAAGCTCGCAGCGACCCGAGCAGCGTTGACAGTCGCCGCCTTCCGCTGCTCGTGAGTAGGCTCGGAGGCTTCCGCCTCCTGATATGCCTCCTCCAAGAGGTCGAAGACGGACGAAGCCGAGCTGGAGCTTTTTCGTGTCCGCCGACATGGCTGGGAGAGCGGGGGGCCAGCAGGGAGCAAAGCTGCGGCAGTCAAAGCATGGATGCAAGCTTGCATGTGCTTCTTGTGCGAATGCGCAGCTTTTGCAAAACAACCTCCACATCAAGCGGCTCCACGACGGCCTTGCTGCAATCAATTTTTTATTCCTTTCCAGCCCTGAGCGTTTCGGAGCTGTGGGGTCGTGCTTTTCCAAAGCTGTACATGCACGTAAAACTCTACGGATATGAAGGCGATGTTCGAAAACGAACACAAGGGAACAAAAGGCCTACATACTTCCGTATATGGTACATGGTCAAGCTCCTGCAGACCGCAGTGGATGGACGATAGCTTCGCCATCTTTCACTGCTTTCCAGCAGTACGGAGGTCCTTCCAAGCTTTCTTGGAAGGGTTGAACCCTCTCGACTGCCAGCAAGACAGCGTGCACAAGGGCCGCTTGCGGCACTTCGGGCAGCCCTCGGCGAACTTCTTCACGAGCTCCGAGCAGACCCCGGCCTTGGCAGCTGCTTCCGCAGGGCCAGCAGGTTGTCCTTCTTCTTGTCCTGCTGCTTCTTGCCCTGCTGCTTCCGCAAGCCCTCCTTCGCTGTCTCAGCCTTCCCGGCTTTGGCCTTCGCTTTGGCTTTCGCCTTCGCTGCAGCCTTGGCCTTCGCAGTGGCTTTGGGCTTCGCAACGGCAGTCAGAGCCTTGGCCTTTGCTTTGGCCTTTGACTTCTTTGGCTCTGCTTCCGCAGCTCCCTCCTCGGTGTCCACCTCGTTCTTTTGCGTCTCGAACTTCTGGGTGAAAGCGTCGAGGGAGGCCAGCGCGGGGTTGCCCTTGAAGTCGCAAGTCTGAGACTGAGAACTGTCGAGGGGCTGCACCTCGGAAGGCTTGCCGACCTGCGGTGAGGCTGGCGGTCTGCTAGCTGTCTTTTCTGCTGGAGGTGAGGCTGTGCTGCTAGCTGTGTGCCCTGCTTCAGGCGCCGGCAGCGCCAGCAGAGGGACTTCCGCCGCAGGTGTCTGCACTTGCGGCAGCGTCAGTGCGGGGAGGCTTTGCGCTTGCGTCAGTGCGGGGAGGCTTTGCGCTTGCGTCAGTGCGGGGAGGCTTGGCGCTTGAGTCAGCTGCTGCTGCAGCCCTGCCAGGTTGGACACAGGCTTCTGCAGTGGAAGGCAGCCAGTAAGCAGCCTTTCAAGCAACCCCACGACCGCCGCGACGTCCCCGCCGCTGCTTCCGCTGCTTCCGGAGCCGCAGGCGTCTCCCTTCCGACTTGACTGGAGATCCTTGTGCGTGTCCCTGCACGTGATGGTCAAGCCAAAGCACCGGATCTCCGACTCCTTGGGGCTCTGAACAGCGGTTGGTGCTGCCTCCAAGCTCACACCAGAGCACTGCAGCCACTCTGCCGGCAGGCAGCTCGGCGTGGTCAGCTTCCAGACCACAGGCCAGAGCTTCCGCCCGGGATTGCTGTCGTACAGCCCTTGCAGCCGCGCCCTCAAAGCGTCCTTGTACGTCACGTACTTGTCGTGCTTCTCCTGGGCGCTCATCGACAAGGCATCCTTCCGGAAGCGGAGCAGCATGAAGGCGGTCAGGCTGCGGCAGGTGAACTCTGACGGCGAGATGCACCCGGCTCTTCCGAGGAAGTCCGCCAGCAGCGAGAAAACCTCCCACTCCTCAGCCTCCCGGCCTTTGCCGATTTGCTGCCACAAAGTGGCTGGCACGACCCTGAAGAAGTGCTCGTAGTCCTGACACTTTCCCTGCTGCCACAGGACAGCCGCTGTCGACTTTCCAGTCGCAGCGTTGCTGCCCAGGGCTTCCGCCAAGCGCTCCAGCTGCTCGGGTAAGAACACTCCCGCTTCGCGAAGTGTCTTCATGGCCATGCCGGAGTGCTGGTTGGACGGCAAGCCGCAGCAAAGAACGGCCAAGCGGTCGACTTGGGTGCTGCGGGCTTCCCAGAACTTCCGCTCCGAGAGGCACTCCTTCGCTTGCACCAAGTACTGCACCGCGCCCTGGATTTCCTCCATGACATTGGCCATTGCAGGTTTTTCTACGAGCTGCAGGTTTCCCAACCTCACCTTCGATGGAGCAAGAGCTTGCGGCGGAAGCATGCATGTTGCTCTGCGGCTTACTCTAGCATCTTTCCTATAGACTTGCTGAAGCGTCTTTCCAGACGCGATCGGCGGACACACTGGCTTCGACAGCGCAAAAAGCAAAATAACGGCATCAATGACAAACAAGAAGCACCAACACACAAACAGCACAAACACGCAAAATAAGTTAGAATAAGTTAACATAAGTTAACATAAGTTAGCTAAAAAGTTAACTTAAGTTAGTAACTTCTATTTCTTCCAACCAACCTTCTACTAACTTCCCCCAAGTTAGTAGGGACTTACTACATGGATGGCAAAGATGTAAGGGGGTTACAGGGGGGTTATAAGGGGGTTACTAACATCTATATCTTAACTTAGGCCACACGCACAATCTTAGTAAGCGAGAGAGAGAGAGAGAGAGAGGTTGCGCTCGCGCGCGGGGGTCTAGGGGGCCAACCCCTAACCCCACACGCCATGCAAGCAAGCAAGCAAGAGAGAGAGAGAGCTTGCTTCGGCACAAACCTCTACTTTCCAAGGATCCCTAGGGTCCCCCAATGTCCCCTAATTGTATTTCCTCTTGCCCTTAGAAGTGCATGCCCTCCCCGGGATCGCTTTTCATATATCGGGGTGAGCTTTACTTTGTGAACATCCGTGACACACCAATGTCCTAAACTTCTGATCAGCTCCGCTGAGGTAGCAGGACCTCCACTGATGGACGACACAGGCCATGACTTCTACGCGGAGGACTGCTTTGTTACTTGTTGCTGTTCTCCTTCCGGGCCGTAGTCTCAAAAAACAATGCACCAGCAAATCCCGGAATGAAGAAGATACTTGCTGCATGTCCTTGTTGGGAACAGCCCCATCACGTCCATCACGACCAAAAGCTCAGGTCATACAGCATTTGGTCAACTGGCCACAATAGGGACAATGGAAGCTAGCCCGTATCTTCCGTGAAAGGCGTTTCTGCCTGGCGGCTACTCTAGGACGATTTGCTTTCCGTGCATTGCAGCAGGATCCACCCCTCGGATTTCAAAGCTTATGACAGTTTCATCCCTCTTCCTTGCAATCGTGCACGACGTTGTGTAATTGAAGTGGGACCGTGTTGAGAGAAACGTCCAGCACACCGCGTCCCCAAGGCTAGCTCCACACACAGCGCGAAATATGAGTTTTCGTGTTGTCCAGCTCAGCGGCACACGAACTCAGCACACGAAGCGCTGAAACAGCCCACGTGTTCATTGAGAACAGGAGATCACAGGCTTCTTCGTGGCTCCTTACACAGCGAACTACAGCTTCTATTTGGCGGCCGACGACGAGGCCGCATTGTGATTCCAGTGGGCCCACCACCCAGCAGTGCAACTTTCCTTCCCATGCTCCTGTAGGCAGACCTCTCATTATCCTGCTGTGGCGACATGGCTGGCATGAAGGCGACGCCCTCAGGAACTGCCAGGTCTTGCGAATTTTCAGTGTGGTTACCAGTTCTCAGGTCATCGTCCGCAGCGAGAAGGTCGACTTCGCCATGCCGCGCTACACCCCGTTGGCATGGTACGGGAGCTGCCAGGCATAGGGGGTCGCCCCACCTCCTGCAGAACTTGAACGTCGCAGCCTCTTTCTGCTAGAATGAGTTTCTTTGGGTTCCTGTACCTTTCAGCATTTGACTGTCACTGGTGATGTGTGGCCGGTGTTTTGCGATGCTGCAATCGTGCACCTGCTGCAGCAGGCAGCCGGCGCGGCATCGGGCGAGCCGGAATGCTCCGTCTCCAAGCCAGTTGATATGTCCGCCGGTGACGCAGCTGACCATGGGGTTTAGGCAGGACAGGCAGTGGGCTTGGATTTTCTGGTACCCGGACCTGGTAAGTGATTGGGACACGCTACAAAGGCCTATCATGGCTATTCGGGAATCTTCGCAATTCTCTGAGCTGGAGGCCCAAAAAAGCTATGTAATTTGATGCAAAAAGGGACTTACATCAGGCAGTGCATTCGGGAAGCTTGCAGAGCACCAAGTCATCTTCGCAAAAGTTGAACAAAAGTACTGAGCAACCATCCAGCTCCCGAAAACACCAACCCCCGACTGCAAAGACCCGAAGTCCAACCCAGAGCTGTATGGTTCGTTCCTCCGAGATGCATCAAGAGAGACTCCTGATGATTGCTTTGGTTCCCCAACGACCAGGCGACCGTGTGCTCATGCGGGTGCGCCACCGCGACCACGTGGGAGCAGAATCTCCGTGCCAACTCTGTTCAGCTTGTGTTTTGAGGTCCCCTATCCCCCAAGAATCAAGAACCCCAAGAGCACTCCCTGAGTCAAAGCCCTCCCCAACCCAGGACTGGCTCCGGGTGGGCCTCCGCGTCCACATGCCCATGCAGTCTTTTGAGGGGCGCCTCGATGGCAAAAAGCGCTTTTTTTTTGCTTGGAGGATCTCTGTGATATTTTAACCTTGGGCCAAGCTGCAACATATTGTCTCCAGGTCCATGCCGCCAGCCGAGATCGTGAGGCCGCGACATGTGTGAGTCCCTGGTTGGATGAAGTTTGCATGCCCTGCCGACTACGCCTGTCTCAGCCCCTGTAGCCCCGAACCTAAGCACAACAGGAGGAAGTCCTTCCTCGAAGTGCAGAAGCTGACCATGACGGCGAATGTGGTGCGCGAGAGGCAGGGCTATGGGAAGGCTGCAGGCAGATCTCCAGGCTCAGCAGCTCCCGCTTGAGAGCCCAGGCACCGGATGAATTTCCTTCGAGTCCTCACAGGCAAGGCCTTGGCCGCTCCCAAGCCGAGCGAAGATTCAACTCCTGCACATTCGATTCACGCTCCATAGAGTAGAAGCTATTCTATTGAGCTTTGGGTTTCGTGGCCTCCAGGCAGCTTCCGCGTCCGCGTGCGCCGCTTCGCGCAGAACTTCCTCCGTGAGGGTGTCTCGGGCGACTCGGCTCTGGTGTGGAGACCTTGCAGAGGATCGTACACAAAGACCCGTCACGCGTGTGGACCGTCACATGGCTAGCAGACCACGTCGTTGTGCAGCCAACGGCATCATGTCATGGGCACCGCGGGACCGCGAGCAGGCGCCAGGCGCCCCCTTTCAATGCTGTTTCAGCATGCACTTCTGTGTGAACTTGTAGCTTTTCGGTTCATGAGCCGTCCGCTCCAGCTTTCTTTGCTGGGTGGTAGTCTGGCTTCGCTTGGATTGCGGTGGCTTGAGGACCTCTCGAGGGATCCGGGGCTGAATCTTGATTTTGGTAGCTGCCCGGCTTGCCCTCTTCTTCCCGATAAGGTTCAGGGATTCACCTTGAGACCTTGATCTTGAGTGTTGGCTTAGGGCTTCTTCTGGGCCCTTTGATCGACTTGATCTATCTCTTCAGGGTTTGGTGGGTTGCGTTCGTTCGTGAACGTTTGCGAGCTATCGGCTTGCGTGCACCTCTGTACCGCGTCCTTTGATGGACGAGACCCTCACTCTGCTTAGGCGGATTGAGCTCAACCTGCAGAGTTTGACGTTGGAGGTGCAGAGGCAAGGTAGGGTGCAGGGCGCATCTGGGTTTAGTGGAGGAGGCAGGTGGTTTCGAGGTGATCGAGCCGGCTGCTTCGACTGCAACTGCTCCTGCCCGCCAGCCCTCCTCTTTTCTTTCCGGGGCCTCGCCTGCCCCTTGTGCAGCTGGGGCCTCGCCTGCTTCAGGTTCTTCTTCTTCAGCCGGTGTTCTGCAACCACCTGCTTTCTCTATCGGGGCCTCGCCTGCCTCTAGTGCACCAGTGGCCTCGCCTGCTTCTGGTTCTTCTTCAGCCGGTGCTCCGCAATCATCCCTCTTCCCGATCGGAGCACCGCCTGCCTCTAGTACACCAGTGGCCTCGCCTGCTGCTGGTTCTTCTTACCCATCTGTGCAAGGAGTCGGCAGCCGACCGGCCATCTCTGAACAGGAGAGGCACGACATTGCTGTGTCGATCGGCCTCTTCTTCCGGAGGTGCTTGGAGGGAGGCTATCGCGGGAGCTCGGGCCGTGACAAAAACGCTCTCCCGAACAGAGTTTACGTGGTGGTGGCGGCGAGTCTTCGACGTGCCTCAGCTCTACGATCGCTTTGGCCCAGTCAAGAGCCTGTGCAAGCGCGGTGCCCTTACGGGCGACAGCAGTTTCTGTGGTTTTCCCAGCCAGTGGGAGGCTGACTTAGCTTGCCAGTCCGGGCGGCTCCCGTTGCCGATCCGTGGCACCAATGTCCCAAACTGAGAGCGAAGAGGTGGAGGCGGGCCGGCCGACCGGCTTGTCCTACGTGGTGGTAGGCCGCCGCACAAATTTTGAGTATGAGGTTGGCTCCTTAACTGTTGGGGAAGGGGACGGCCGTCGGACAGTGGCGATCATTCTTTTTGCTGCGTTTGAAGGGCGGATTGTAGTTGCTCTTCCTCAGAATGCTGGGACAGGAAGGTAGCTCGCAGGGTTCTGCCCGCCGGTCTGTTCACAAAGGCCTTGCAAATTGAAGTGACAACCTCAGCTTCTATCGAAGCCCGGGATCAGCCAGGTGTGACTTCCATGCGCATTTGGGTGGGCCTCCTGTCTCGCTCCATTGCCGACCAGGTAGTCTTTGATCGGGAGAGTGACCCCACCATTGTGTTTCTTGCTGCCGGTGAGCCTGCATTGCCCTTCGCCGAGGCCTTGACGCGAGTTGCCAACGAGCATTTTGCCTTCTGGTCGCCCGCTTCGGACTCCGGACATCGGCGAAAACCGCTTTGCAGCTTTCGAACGAAACGTGCAGGAGCTGGCCTCTACGGTGAAGCTTTTGGCCGAGGCCCCTTCTGCTGCCGGGAAGCCGAAGGCAATGGCGAAGAGGAAGCCACAGAGCGATGACGAGCCTCTTGGGCCCGTGCCGGGCACACCGCCTCCGAGGGGGACCGCTACTGGAGTCTCAGATTAGGAGCATGATGGGGGCACGCCGAGGTCGGCTTACGGATTTTCCTTCAGGTGCTCTGGCCAGTTTGCACGGGGATTCTCAAGAAGAGGACGCGGAAAGGGAGGAGGCAGATGCTGAGTTGGAAGAATCGCCTCCGAAGGACCCGGTTGCCGCGGCTCTCGTTGCCTTGACAAAGATCGTCGGTGAGCTTGCCGGCTCAAAGCAGCGCAGCGCTGCGGAACGCAGCTGGGAGACCGTTCTTGAGGTAGCTGACAGTGGCTATTCAGCCGAGGCTTCTGCGAGCTCTTCTTCTGGATCTCGGTGAAAAGCTGCTGCCCTCCGCACCTTGCGAGCTGCCCTTACCCGCCACCCGGAGCAGATCTGCGAGAGCATCGAGGGCCTTATGGAGGAAGACCTGAACAGGCGATCGGCGGGCGGCTTGGCTGGCTCGGCTGCTACCTTCTGCTCTTGGTTTGAGCATCGCAGCAGGATGGGCCCTTATCCAACAAGCGTGCGGCTGGGCTGGTGCCTGTGTGGAGCGCTCGACGCCCTCAAAGATGATCGTATCCCGGAGGGGCGAGCGCGCCTCGCGCTTTCGATCGCAGCATTAGATCAGCAATCGCTGGACAATGGGTCCTGGTTGATCGCCCAGGAAGCCTTGCTTGAACCACCGCCGCCATTGAGTGCCTTTTCGAGTCGGCGTCTCCAGCATTTGGACCCTCTTGAAAGTTTTCATTCGAAACTTTTGGATCCCCGCATAGCGGATCTTCTGCTTTACAGAGTGAAGGAGGTCGAGGGATACTTGGAGGCGAAAAGGAAACTTGGAAAGGGCCGGGATCCGGAGCCGAATCGTCGCTCGGATGATGGTGCAGGTTCAGGTGGTGATGCGAAAAGCGGGAAAGGACCAAAGTCAGGAAAGGAAGGAAAGGCCGATAAAGCCGGCAAGTCGGGCCCCTCCGGGGACCAAGGACAATGAGGGGTATGATTTCGTATGGGCTCCGGCTTTGGGGAGGCCTGTGTCGCAACGCGTTGCTGCCAGCGTTCTCGCTTGAGCTGTTTGCCCTTCTTTTCGGTGCCTTCGAGGCGTGTGTGGCAGCCGTCTGCCAAATTTTTTGGTGCTCGGCCTGAGCACTGCGAGCTTACTTCGGAGCTGCGGTTCAACGTAGTGTCGGGGGGCCGCTTTTTGACTTCGTGGGCTCCGGGGCTTGCCGCCAAGCTCGGGTTGCTCCTTTTTGCTGTCTGGGCTGGGCGCATTCTGTGCGATTGGGGTTTGGGCCGACCCGGGAAGGTCTCGGGCTTTATAGGGGCTGCGCCTAGCCTTCTGTGGAGTTTTGGAGCTGGTTCACCTGTGTCGCACCCTCCGCTTTGCGGAGTTCTTCCTAGTGCTGCCAGCGCCGCTCTGGATCTTCATTGTGCAAAGGCTTCGGTGAGCGCTGCTCCCGCCAATCCTTCTGACTCTTCTTCAGCCTGTGCCTCTTTGGGCCGGCCTTTAGTGCCTGGCGTTTTCTCCTTGCGCGGCGTCGGCTTTTCAATGCCCGTCGGTGCTAAATCTTGTGATCCGGGGGCGGGTGCCAGTACAGTGCTGGGCTCCGATTTGTGGGATAAGCTTCAAGCCCTGCTCCTGGATGACGCTGAGCTTTCCTGGTATTTCCACAGCAGCAAAAACCACGCTTCTTCTGGGAGCCATTTCTCCTTTGCGCGGAGATGGGCCGGTCATCGTCAAAAGGTGGCTTCCCTCTCGCTCCAAGATTCCGCAGCGATGCAGCTGCTCAGTGCGGTTGTCGACTACTTGTCTTCGAGGCCTTTGCGCAGCCGTAGTTCGGGGTTGGGATCATCTGCTTCACTTGGTTCAGGGCTGGAATGCTTACCCGCCGGTCGGTGCTGGGGCGAGCTGCCGGGAAGTTCGAGAAGATTGAAGAACAACTGTCGGTGTTGGAGAAAGCTGCCGGCTTGCAGAGTGATTCCCTGCGGGGCTCTTTGTGTATGCCCAACCTGGCTGTTGCAAAAGATGTGGAGGTCTCCAGGCTCACGCTTCCGGAGCCTCCGGGCTTTGACCCTTCGCCCTACTTCGACGCTCCTCTTCGCGATCTTTACCTAAATCCTGACAGGTACCGGGTGCCAGGCGACCCTCCAAAAGTGAAAGTGCGCACAGCTTCACAGCTAGCTCGGCTGGACTTGCTGGGAGCTTTCGATTCCCATGCGATGCTGAACATCTTTTCCGATTCGGTCTTTGAGGATAGGGCGGCGGCAGGGATGTTCTCGATACCAAAATAGTTTGGATCGTGACCGATTGATACTTGACGCTCGACCAGGCAATCGGCTGCTCCCTTTGGATTCGAGGTGGCTTTCTACTCTGGCATCCCACACCTGTTTGTTGGACTTGGTGCTAGCTTCAGGGGAGTTTCTTCTTGCTTCAGGCGAAGATATCCGGGATTATTATTATAATTTCGTGATATCGGATAGCCGCTCCCAGCAGTACCCCCTAGTTGGCAGCTACAGTCCCAAGGAACTCAGTCATCTGCCCTTATTCACCCCCAGCTTCTGGTCCGAGAAGCGGTTGGTCGTGGGACTTAAGACGCTTGCAATGGGCGACCTCAACGCAGTGTCTTTCGAGCAGGCGACCCATGTCGGCCTGGTTCTAGCTGCGAAGGTCGTCAAGCTTTACCAGCTCCTGACCTATAGAGGGCGCCCTCCGCGGGACCGAATCTCGCTCGGCATCGTCATTGACGACCTGCTGGTGCTGGAGAATCCTAGGCAAAGCTGACCCTTCCCTAGAGAGTCCTGCCGTCGTCGCAAGCATCAGGGGAGCCTACGCTGCTGCAAAGCTCCCACGCCACTCTAGCAAAGGTTTCCTGTTGGAGACTTCGGCCGAGGTTTGGGGAGTTCAGCTAGACGGTGAAGAGGGTTGGGTCCGAGCAAATTGGAACAGATTGGTGCCGCTAGCGCGCATCACCGCTGAAGCCCTTCGGCTGCCCCTCCTTTCCGTGTCGCTGCTTGAGGTGCTCGCAGGATGCTGGGTGTCAGCGCTGTCGTTTCGAAGGCGGCTTCTCAGCCTGCTGTCTGAGATTTATGTGGCGCAGCGAGACCGAGGCCGCTCTGATGTCTTCCGCCCCTCCTCTGCTTTAACGTTGGGACTGTTGAGCCTAGCCGTCCTGGCCTCGGTGGCAAGAACGGAACTGCGGGCCCAAGCCAGTCCTTTGCTTGTGGCCACCGACGCCTCAGATGCTCTGGGAGCCGCAGTTGCGGCTTTGCTTCGCCCTCCTCTTGCGACGGAGTTGCTGAGGCGCACGCTCACGAAGGGCCTCTGGAACAAGCTGCTCAGCCTTACTGATGCCCTGCTTCATGAGAAAGGCTTACTAGCCCCAGAGGATGCCTTGCCAGGGGAGGAGAGCTATCGCACGCATTCGCTTTGGACGCTGCTTCACAAGTGTTTGCCCTTCCGGCTGCTGGGTAGCTTTGCCAGGCCTCTTCAGGAACGCGTAAACTTGAAAGAACTGGAGAGTTATTTGGTTGTCGAAGGGAAGGTTGTAGAACTTTGGGCTGCCTGGATTCGCAAGTTTCTTTAGGCTGCTTACTGAAGGGGAGGTCATCTTCGCCTGCGCTGAATGAGCGAATGAAGTCATCGATTCCAGCGCTGCTCCTGTTCCGCTTGCATCCCTACTACTCTTTCGTTGCTTCGGAAGACAACGGAGCCGATGACCCGACCCGAGACCGGCCAGTGCGTCAGCCCAGCCTGCCGAAGCCTGACTGGCTGCTCGCCGCTGAAGGTGGCGACTTCGAAGGGCTTGATCAGTTTCTGTGGGATCGGCGGCTTGATCCTCTTCAGCTCCAAGATCTTGTGGTCCTTCCTGGCCAGAGAGGGAACAGGTGCCAGTGTTGACAGGGAAGGTGTTCCGCCCAGGCTTCTGACCCTAGCTCGGAGCTCCAGCCAGCTGTGCAGCAGTTGCTAGCACGCTGTCATCCTTTTCAAATCATCTGGGCCGACGGCAAGCGGCATCGCAGCAGCGAGCTTCCTCGAGGCAAGGTTATCTTTGCTTGTTTGCGAGCGACAGGGGCGTCGCAAAGACCATCTCTCGAACTCTTCAGGTTGGGGCCTTGACGTTCGACTGGAAGCACGGTCCTGGACAGGACCTGCTGGATCCTGAGTTGCTGCCTCTTTTGGTTGCCTCTCTTGAGTCGGGTGGTTTCCTAGGGGTAGGCTTAAGTCCCCAGTGCCCTTCCTTAAGTACTGCCTCAGCCCCGCCCTGCCGATCCTCAAATTTTCCTGCCGGCCTGCCTGACCTGTCATGCCACAAGCAGCTCCGAGTCGACCGGGGCAACCGCATCGTCACCTCCCTGCTCGTCGTGGCCGTTCGTTACGGGATTCCCTTCTGGGTCGACAACCCGGGGTCCAGTTTCCTTTGGGCTTGGCCGGGGCTTGCTTCGGTTCAGGGTTCTGAAGGGGTTGGTTTCTGGGAGTTCGACTGTTGTGCCTTCGGTGCGCCATGGAAAAAACGAACTGCGGTGCTCACGAACACGGCTTTAGCCGGCTGCTCTAACTTTTGAGGCAGGGCAGCGCAACAAGGACGCAGCTGGACTGAGCTGGCTGAGGGCTTCCCCCGGAAGGTTGTGAAGCTTCTGGCAGAAGCTGTCGCGGCAAAAGCTTACGAGGATCGCCCCGGAATCTCAGCAGCAGTGCGTGACTCTGCCAAGAGGATTGGGGAAGCATCTGTTCCAGGGCCGCGGGCGACCCGAAAACCTCGAAGTGGTTCGCTTTTCGATGTCGAACTGGTTGAGCCTGCAACTGCCGCGCTTCGGGTGTCGATCTGGGAAGTTTTTTCGAGCTTGGCTCGATGAAGGGCTGGAGCGAGAAACGGTCTTAAAGCTCTTCCGCTGCCCACCGCTCCTGGCTCTGGTGCTGCGGGACTACGGGGACGAGCTCTGCAAGACCGGTTTTCCTTTGAATCATTACAGACAGCTTCTTGCTCATTCGCAACGCCTGGTCCCTTTAGTGAAGCCTCACCTTGGTATTGCTTGGGACATGGCGCCCCGATGGGAGGAGTTGCAGCCGGTGATTCATAGAACGCCTCTTCCAAAGGTACTGCTGAAAGCCTTAGTCGGCCTTGCCATCATGATGGGCTGGGTTCGATGGGCGGCCGCCACTTTGACTATTTTCTTCGGTATCGCGCGGCCGGGGGAGGTTCTGAGAGCAAAGAGGTCGGACCTTCTCACGCCCCAAGACTTGTTGGACCCTGGTCACAGGTGGATCTACTTGAAGATCGGGAAGCCAAAGTCTCGAAGGCGAGCTGCGAGGATCCAGCACATAAAGCTCTGCAAAAGGTCTGGGGGCCTTTGAGTCCGACAGCTCTGCTCTACCCTGGTTCGGCAGCGGCCTACAGGCGCAGGTGGGACAAACTGTTGCTGTTTCTTGGGTGTACCGAAGGACCTGAGTCTGACCCCGGGGTCGATGAGAGGAGGAGGTGCCATATCGGCTTTTCACGACGGGCTGTCGATTGGAGACCTTCTATGGGGGATGCGATTGAAATCGGCTGCCACGTTGGAATTTTACCTTCAAGAAACTGCCGCAGTGTCAGTCCTCCCGAAGCTCTCCAGACACGTCCGTCGCAGGATCGTTTCAGCTAGCTGCTTCTACGAGCTTCTTGGTCGCTGAGTTTCTGGAAGAAAGCTGGAGTGGCCAGCTGTGCGCGCTTCGCGGCCGTGGCTGGAGATTGGGTGTGTCGCGCCCGCTAGCTGAGCAAACTGCTCTGCTGTGCGGTGCCGCTCCGTCGCATCCACTCTTGTTACTGCTGTGGAAAAAGAGAGAGGGAATGCGGATGTGCATGTTTCAGCATGCACTTCTGTGTGAACTTGTAGCTTTTCGGTTCCCGCCCCCCCCGCCCTGGGGGGTGTGTCGCGCCCGCTAGCTGAGCAAACTGCTCTGCTGTGCGGTGCCTCTTGCTACTGCTGTGGAAAAAGAGAGAGGGAATGCGGATGTGCATGATTCACTTGGCATTGCGAGCAGCGCAGAGCTGGGCACAGCACGGGCAGACGATCAAGAAATGCTTTTCAGAGTCATGCTTGCAAAAAGCAGTGGCGGCTGGTTTGCGATCGTGGGTCTGCGAGAACATCGCAGCAAAGCATGCCCGCACATCAAGTCATCAAGTCACAATGCACGGTCTGCAACTGGTGCGAGGGATGTGCTTGAAGAGCTCCAGAAAACCGCCTCGCGAAGTCCAAGAGCGACCTAGGCGTGCTGCGTGTGGGTGCTACTGCCGCAGAGCTCGCAAACACACTTTGGGACACGATGGATGCCCGTGCCGCAAGAGTGGAGTTATGTGGAGGTTGAGGTTTGGCGGATTCAGGATTTGCGTCTGGGTGTTTAGTTCTTGGAAACATGGAAGGATTGAAGTCATGCGACACGAGTGATCTTGTTGCTGGCCCTCTTTCATCCAGTTGAGGATCTCTATGGAAGAGTCCTGGAGTGCGAGCCCACGCTGGAGCGAACTGAAGATGCAGACAATGCAGTGCCCCGTGCCGAGACATGCCCTGTGGATGCGCAGGCTGACTCGCTGTGGTTGCAACTCCCAAAGCTTTGCTCCTCCTTCTGCTACTTCCAGTGGCAAGACTGCTCTCGTCGGAGCGGCTCATGTCGTGTTTTTTGTTCTACTTCTTCGATCTGCTTTGGCATGTTCAGACATTTCCAAGCTATCGCAGATTTGCTCTGTAAGGTCGGTTCGTCTTGCAGTCTCGGTCTATCCTTTTCGATTGGGAGTTCGCTTTCCGCGGCCACGCTGGATCTCCGAGCTTCGCATGGCACAACATTGGGCTCGTTTGTGGACTCCGACAGCTTCGCCGTTCCGGCGGCACTTTTGCTTTGTCCCTGTCCCGTCGACAAAGAACGGAAATGGCCAAACTTCCGTCGCTGCACTTGCAAATGGACCTGGGTTCTGGCCGCATGACAGGCATTGTGCGAAGCTTGCAGCTGAGTGGATGGGTGCAGCTCACGAGGAAGGCATGGAAAGGCCTAGATGCGAAGGCGAAGCAGCGGCGCCTCAGCCGTAGCAAAACAGCAGTGCCAGTGGCAGCGGCAACAGCAATAAAGCACTGCCATCTTCAGGCTGCTGGTGGCAGCGCTCGCAGCTCCGAGTTCCGAGTGATTAACAACGCTTGACTCGCAACAAGACTCCTCCTGCCGCTTGCACTCCCATCGAAAGTACGTGGGTCAGTATTTCGGCATTGAAAACATGCCTCACGAAGCATCGCCTGCAGCTGTGAGCTGTGAGTCTAGTTACGGCTCCACGAACTCGCCAGCGAACCAAGGTTGATCTATTTTGTGACCTTTCCATGTCCACGGCAAGCAGACGGGAATGCACATGCCGTTCCGTGACTGCCTTGAGACTGTTGGGAGGATAAATTCTGTTCCCGAAACAGGCGCTCTCATTTCCGTGACCCGGTTTGTTGCGAGACATGGCTTCGGACACCTCAAGGATTACCCATTGCAAACAGCCAAGGACACCCTGGACATCGTGCCCGGTCTCGACGTCATCGCCACCGGCCGAGAGGGATGGGCCGCTCGGCTCTGCTGCGGAGCGATGTCTCGACCAGCCTAGACAAGATTCACGCACGTGTCGCCTTCCCGTCGAATATTGAGCTTCCGTGTCAACAGCAGTGCAAACGGGGACGAGTCTTGAATCAGATAGGCGCAGAGTCGAAACCCGTATCTTCCGGTCCCAGCATGGGAGCCAAGGTCATGAACTCCGCCTACTTGCAGTCTGCCTCCGAGCTCGCACCATGACAGCAGGAGAACATGAGCCGTGGGCGCACATGTTCGGAAATGTTTGTTGGCTCATGGGCATGGAAACTCCCCGCGCTCTGAGGTACAGGGCAGTTTCAAGCTCCACTTTCGAGGGGAGTGGACCGAGGTATCAGGGCTCCGTTCTGTGAACCCGCGTAGCACATCGTGGAAGTGCTTTCTGTTGCCGCATCCCTCGAGTCGTTGACAGCAACAGTCCGTCTGGGTGGAAAGCAGCAGCCCTGCTGCCCTTGCAGGCCATCTCGTACCAGGGCTGGCAAGATGTCCAGCGGCAGCTTCTGATGCTTCCGGGTCTGGGTGACGTTCGCATCTGGCCTTTTGCAGAGGCTCCGATGTCAAAATATTTAAAGATGCTCGTAACCTTCTCTGCTTCACCGGTCCTCAACGTATCTGGCTCCCTTTTGCTTATGTTTTTGCTATTTCTATTGCTGTTGCTTGCTCTTGCTATTGCTCGCTTGCTCTTGCTCGTTCGCTCTCTCTCTCTCTCTCTCACTCTTTCTCTCTCCTTTTTCTCTCCGTCTCCGTCTCCGTCTCCGTCTCTGTCTCTGTCTCTGTCTCTGTCTCTGTCTCTGTCTCTCTCTCTCTCTCTCTCTCGCTCGCTCTTTCGCTCTTTCGTTCTCTCGAAAGTGTCGTCGTCCCTATACCTTTCTTTGTTCTTCAACTGTCCTGCTGCTGCAAGCATCTCGTCATCACTCATGCCATACTGCACATACTTAAGTAAGCATTTGTGGAACAGGTGCTCCAGGAGGGCAGAGAAGGGTGGTCAGTGGGACTTCTGCTGCCCGGAGAATCAGGTCGGGCCTTCGGAAGGGCTTTTCGATTGCCATTGACTGAGCAGAGTAGCCGAGTAGCCTGTCTTGCGGCTTGTTGCTCTCACAGATCTGCACAATGGACTCTTCAAAACTCCCTCCAACCCATCTAAGTCCCAGTGACCTGAAGGCGGTGGCGAGGATATGCCCCAGATTCACGTCGATGGCTCCCGGTTGTCTGGTCCAGGCCGGGGCGAGTTGACAGAACGAGGGTCGGCTGGTAGTACCGCCTGGACCGGATGGATATGTAACACAAAATGACAGCGGCACCTTGCTGCCGTGACGAAGTGTTCTTCGAGCGGTCAAGCATGAGATATGGTGTTCGTTTTGCTAGGGTCAGCTGGGAATTCGTTACAACGCGGAGTCAGAGTCCCCATGCACAAGTAGGTGCACAATTTCAAGCCTTAAGCCGTAAAGAAGAAGATGAACTTAGTGACAACTGGGACTTTCTGATGCCCATCGAGACCGCAGGGGATGAGAGGATGAGAGCAATGTCTGAACAATGGACCTATGCGAGTCACATTGAGGTGCTGGGTCATCTGCGTAGAGTCTGTATGAGTTTTTTCTCTGCCAGTTTGTAGGTGTGCGCCTGTCCATCGAGACTCTCGCGAACGGCTCTCAGGATCTCTTCTTTGAGGACTGATGAGCGGAACCCCCCAACACGTACTCATAGTCTCTCGCTGCTGCAAGTGCACGATATCTGCGTCTTGCCATTCGATGCAAACTCGTCGCAGGAAATACCTGCGGATTGGTTCCGCACTCCGAACTTGCAGCCTCAGGCAAGGCCTGTGGGCATACAAGGGTAGGGTCATGCAAGGCGCAGGCCCTTCGCGTGGTATGACGTGGTGGGGATGCTTTAGAAAATCTGCTTCCTGAAACTGCTCCGACATGTTACAAGGGTAGCCCAGGCCCTGAAGTTCTAAAACATCCCTCGGAGCTACCGGAAGTGGCTGTTGGCAGGTGGTAGTGGAGAGCAACGGCGTGGTGGCATCTGCAGATGATGTGTCTTTCCGTCGTTCCGAGGTGAGAAGCCGTGGCTTCTTCAGTTTCGTGGCAGTTTCCTATGCTTGCTATTGGCGCGCAGCTGATGGCTGCTGTTGAGTCGTTGTGTTCTCTGTGAAGCCTCGGAGCTTGTGCGCAGGATTTTACCCCGCGCTTGATGGACCTGGACCCCTTGGTCGTGCAGGTGCGACCTCAAGAGTGCTGCTTCTGCTGGCCGTGACTTCCAAAACCCTTTAGCCTTAAAGCCCTGGACCTTGGAATGTGGATGGCGCTTGCTCAAGAGAACGACTGGGTGTTGAACTTCGATACCGGCACGATAGTCCCAAACCGTCTTGCGGAAGCCCTGCACGGCACTTTAGAGGTGAAAGGGGTCATGATTTTGGCTGACTTACCTGCAGTGTGGGAAGTCTGCGAGTCCCTTGTCAAGGTTGGCTCTGAGCTTTCACTACGCTTCGACCGCGTGGAGACCAGCCTAAGTCTAGCATTGATTGAATTGATCTGAACGCGGCAGGTGCACGGGAGGTTTGCGATTCAGGCTGCAGGTGCTTCATGCTTTCGGAGCATTCTCGAGAGTCAAGAGTTATCCAAAAGCACAAAGGGCAAGGCCTGGTTGCCAAGGATGGAAACCACCTCCGCGACGTGACCTTGCGCGAAGGTCGGGAGCCCTTCGCGATCTTCGTGGGGCCGTCGCGATGTAACTTGACGCCGTGACCTGAGCTATTATGCAAAGTCTGCTTACTAGAAATGAAGGCAGAACAGAAGCCTGAAGCGAGAACACGTCGTTCGCTTCGTTGTGCTTTCATCACTCTCAGCTTGAGCAGCTGGCGCCGTTTTGTTTTTTTAAGATGGCCACTGCTGCGGAAGAGGGTCCTTACGAAGGCTATGGCAAGCAATGTGCTCACGATGCTAGTCTGAGCAGTGAGCATGACGACAATAGCACATTGCATCACATTGTACTGTTTCCGTTTTCTTTGAGATCGTGCATGTAACAAGGACAGTCTGCCTAGTGTAGCCTCCTTTGTAATACGAGCACTGGCTATTCTACGCAGGCCACTTCTTCTTTGCATAGGGCTGTTGCTGCCCCAAATTTGCTGCTCCCATCAAGCTGCAACGAGCCTGCATGGGGCACGGACACACTAAGCTCACCAAGCGTAGAACTCCCGCATGTGTCTTATACACCTTTTAATGCCACCTGCAGCTGCAAAGGGGATTTTCCGGTGTCGAATGTTTGAGTTCAGGGAGAAACGGCTTTCATCACCAAGTGAGGCAGTGCTAAAGACTTTCACGGTGCCTGGAATTACAAAGACTGTGCCAGAATTTGCTGAGGTCGTACGCTTGCTGCCCGGCTGCAAGCAATTTCCCCCAGCGAGCACAGATTCAGGGAGGGTTTTTTGTGGGATCTTCTTTGCCTTCTCCGAAACCTGCGCTCGCCTCTCCCTCGCCTTCGGTCCGGAAAAAGCCGCGTGAGACGAGGCGAGAACGGCGAAGAGAGGAACTGCGGAGCGTGAGGCTTAGCATGCCCTAAGCTTTTTCATTCCGTGTCTTGCTGTCCTCACACCTGTGGTAGTACACCCCGTATCACACGGCCGCTCTCTTCACAAAAAGATGCTAAGTTGCGCACCAAAAAATCGGAAGCCTGGAAGCCAGCCACCGAGTCTTTCCCGGAAGTCTGGAACGTGATGTGCACGGTGCTCGATGGTCGTGCCGGTGACCAGGAAGTGCAGGCCAGACGGGAGGGTCGCAGTCATGCCCATGGGTTTGGGGTGGAAAACTACGGGTTTGGGGCTCTGGATTTGAAGATGGGTTTTGGCATGTCTGGCTGTGCTTCAGGCGTAGGCTTTGGGGTTTTGGGGAGCCCGACCTCTGGAATGCTACAGCTTTGCGAAGGTCATGGTGGACGCCCAAGGGCGGGCACAGTACACGAATGTCACCATCGCAATGTGCCTGGGCTGCATTGACCGGTTGGGAAGGCAAGACGCGAAGGTTTAAGTCGCGTCCCTCTCCGTCCTGGATTTCCAGCGACATCCTGTCAGCACATGCGCTGAGGCCAATGCCCAGCATCGGCTTCGTTCCCCAGATCGATCTGGCACCTTGACTGGTGATGTCCACATGCATGTGAAAGGTTACACAAGTGGTTCTGGGTGCTCCGACATGACTGAACGCCTCTCGCGTCTCCGTCTCAAGCACCGCCCATGAAGCATTCGGAAGCACTGGATGCAGTCTGAACCCAAAGCGACTGAACGTTGTCGAAGCCCCGCAGCCTTAAGGTGCAGCCGTCCATGGGAAGCTGGGCCCAGCTCCCGGAGATGGGAGGGGCCCGGGAGCACTGACAGGT